GGCCCGGCTCGCCTCCGCGGGCGCGGAAATTTGTTGCACTTCTTGGGGCTTTGTTTGTTTGTTTTTCCTGCGGTTTTTATCTTTAATTTGCTCCCCCTTATTCTGGACAAAATGTCGGTCTGTGATGTAGACATCGTGCGAGGCACCTCGGCGGCATTGGGAGCTTTGCAGAAGGTGCAGTTTGAATTCTGCTTTTCCCAGGGTGGCAGCTCGGGCTTGGCCGGGTGAATCTTCGCTGCTGGCGTGGAAACAGCTTGTTAGTGGATTGAAGAAAAACATTTTAAGTGTTGTGTGTAAAGGCTTTGCGTGCACAGTGGAGGAATCGCCACCTTAAATAAGCATATGGGCGATGAGCAGGGTGTGTTTTCCTCGCGGAAAGGGAATTTGGTTGCCCTGACCAATGTCAGCGTGTAAATATTTAGATGTTATTGGTGACTTTTTAACATTTTTCAGCGAGGTCTGTTATTTACTTGTGTCATTTGTTATTAATGCTCATTGCCTAAGTTCCCTGGCAAATCTGTTTCATGCCTTCCGAGAAAGTAGACAATTGATAGATTGTCCAAGGGATGGAAAAAAATGTGAGTGGGTTTTCTAACTTGAGTTCGGTAAATCCCTGCACGCAGGCGTTTTGAGATACACCACCTCCCCTGTAACCTTGTGCGATGAGATATCAGTGTGAACACTTGAAGCTTTTTAATGGAAATACGATTTTAGGTGACTATTAAGAGAAGAAAATGCGGTTAGTTTACTTCTTAGATTTCACATTTTCTCCCCTTCCTCCCATTCTCTTTAAAGTTTTTCAAGAGATAACTTCACCAAGATGTCCAGTGATAGGCAAAGGTCCGATGATGAGAGCCCCAGCACCAGCAGTGGCAGTTCAGATGCGGACCAGAGAGACCCAGCCGCTCCAGAGCCTGAAGAACAAGAAGAAAGAAAACCTTCTGCCACCCAGCAGAAGAAAAACACCAAACTCTCTAGCAAAACCACTGCTAAGTTATCCACTAGTGCTAAAAGGTAAGGTGAAAAAAAAAAAAAGAATTAAGCACATTGTCAGGTTGTTTTCCAAATGATGGAAGGATGCTTCTGTTGGTTTTACATCAGTTGCGATTGTTCAGAAATATTTACTTCATTATCAATTTTATTTGTACTTGAAGGAGTTGTCATTCTTTAGGTGGTATATAAGTGACCTCACTAGAATTAGACCTTTAAGCAAACTTACTCTCTACTTTGGTAACTTCATTCAGAGTGTCCTTGAGGAGAGATTAGACTAACATTCTGACAGATTGTTTAAGGAGTTGGCAAAGAAAATTTGGTGAACCCAAATTAGATGGTACTTTGGGGATGTTTCCTTTTATGAGTCATAATCTTCTTTAATGAAATTGACACTTCTAGAGATTAGCAGTACTTCTCTTCATGAAACTTAATGATCAGAAATGATCACATTTGCTAGAAAATTTACAAATTCCAGGCCTGACTATGTTTGAGAACAGATTTGAAATTGTGTTCCAAATCTGCTTATAGTTATACAAACAAGACTTTAAATCATGCATTGCAGGTATAACTTTCTGTAGTTAAATTATGATTATCCCTCCATGTTGTTGTGAGGGCAAATAAAACTGAAATGTAGCCATTTACAATTTTAGGTGTCACTTGGTGATTGAAAACTTTCATTGTCCTTAGGCCCCTTCACTCTAAAACTTGTGGATGTGCTTGACATGTTAATACTCAACAGCAGGGGAAACATATTTTGTTGGTCATAAGTGAAAGATCATTTGTTTCCTGTTGATTTATATTTTCTGTGGTGGTGAAAAAAGATTCTGTCAATGGGACTCCATCAGTGCTAGTAGTAGTGAAGTATCCAGAAACTCTAGTAATTACGCAGAAAATGTATCCACAGCATTAACCAATATTGACGTTTTGTTGATTTTTATTGATCATAAGTAAAGGAAAAATAAATGAATCAAATATTACATTCTGTGGTGGTTTAGAAATGCTCTTATTTTATGGTTTTTCACGTGTGTTGTATTAATAATCAAGTATTAATAACTTGAAAATATTTTATTGACTAGAGTAATCTTTGAAATAATTTAAAATTCTTCTCAATTTGTAATCTCGATGAGGAACATATTAAAAATCTTAAGTTTTAAAAGCTTCTTAAATTTAACTAAAATTAGAGAACTGCTTTTTCCCATTTAACTCAAGGCTATATATCTTATCCTCTCAAAATTTATTAAATTTAAGTGCTGTACCTAAGATCAGGGAAAACAGAGATGGTTAAATAAGCATGTCAAATAGTCTTTGGAAGTTTTTCCACTAGTAGAGATATTTGTAAATTTTAAACTTTTTTTTTGACAGTTAAGATACTGTCAAAACTCTTAAGGTGCTCTGGTAGTAGCCTGTTAATTTGTACCTCAGTAAAAGTGACTAGAAGTCATTGTCAAATATTCTAGTGCTTTCCCTCCTCCCTTTTTGTCTCATTTGCATATAAGCTTAGAAAGAGAATTTCTTTGGAAAAAAGTGTTTTAAAATAGATTTTATATCCTTTACTGAGTACTAGTGGAGGACTATTTCTCAAATCAGGTGTGAATGACTGACTTATTTACAGTAGCAAGTGAGAAAAAAAGCTGCAAAGTTTCTGTTAAGGGATTTGGGTTATGCCTCTGAGAACAAAGAGGAAGCAGCCATGTTAGCATTACTGAAGGCAAAGCCAGCCTTGCATTTAACTGCATGGTGGTAGAGGGCAGTGTAATTCCCAGGTTATTCTGTAGACTATCTCAAATCCTTTTTGTCTGTTCTCATTTCGCTAACAGAATTCAGAAGGAGCTAGCTGAAATAACCCTTGATCCTCCTCCTAACTGCAGGTAAGAAATAAATTTTGTTGTTTTGGTGTCAAATTGAGGAAAAAATATCAAGAGATTTGTGTATTGTTCGTTGATATGTATGCAGCAGAGATGGCTACGTTTGCTTCTTTACAGCTTTGCAAGTGCATTAAACAAAAATTGTCTAAGGTGAATTTGATAAAATTGAGAGAAAAAATACTTTTTCGCATATGTCATATGTTGTGGACTTATGCATATGTTGATTTTGTGCTGCTTATTGAGATTAGTATGAATGGTGCTGATTTTTGTTCTGTTGTATTTCTGTAGAGCGGGTTTAATCAGAAGTTATTGCAGAAACTTATAAAATTTTGTTAAGCTTTAAAGTTACTGCTTGTGTGCAGTCTGAACTGACCTTCCAAATTTAGAAATTGCTGAATGTGGTGTTACAAAATGTAAATGCAGTAAACCAGAGTATAGTTGTTTCTGTTTGATTTATTCTGTAACTTGCCTTAAGGACAGCTTTTATGTGCTAAGCTAATGGTTTTAGTTGTTTTTTAGAGAATGCATTGTTGGGACTTATTTACATTTTAAGCAAATGTTCTAATTACTTGGGAAAACGCTTAGTAATTTTGGTAGTTGAAGTATATGTATGGAAAGCAGTAAATGAATTTGAATTGTGGGAAGAAATCATTTCAGTGCAGATAGATAGAATAAGACTGATGGTTGGTATAAGATGTATTAAAAGTAGCTGGTTGATAATTTTTCTCAGTAATTTTTTTCACTTCATCTCATATAGTGCTGTTTGGTTTTTAACAGTGGTATGGCTTAGAAAATTCAACAAACTTAGCAGTATTATAGATAATTTGTGTAGAGAATATGTGCTCAAGAAAGAGAGTAGCTGCTAAAAATAAGGCTGTCTTATGATTTGATAAGAAAATCTTTTAGTTCTAACCTATATTTTTGCTACAAGTTGTGCTCACTTGTGATAATCAGACTGTCTCTGAAGTCTACTTGAGATATAATAGGGTATCATCCAGTTGCTTCTTCTTGTGTGTGTTAACTGGATCCTCAGATAAGGTGATCTGATCCTGATTTATCCAGCGAATTAACAACAGTTTTGCGTATATTTGTAATCACAACCATTTCAGTTCAATCAGGACACATGAATGAAAACTCATTTTAAGGAGATAGTGGCATGTCAGATCTCAAAGTATTACCTAAGTGCTGTGCTGTCCATTAAATGCAGCCACTAGGCACATGTGACTCTTGACCACTTCAGTTGTGCCTAGTTTAAAACGAGATGTGCTGTAAATGGTAAAATACACACTGGATTTTGAAAACTTAGTGCAAAAAAAGAATGTAAAATGCTTTCTTGATTTTTAAAAAATATATACATGTTCAGTATATGCTGAATTGATAATATTTGGGATACATTTGGCTATATAAAATATTAAAATTAATTTCACTTTTTAATCATTTTACTGTGGTTATTGGATGCATTAAAATTACATGTGTGACTTGCATTATATTTCTGTTGAACAGCACACTTTAGAGAACAAGTAAATCAAAGTATTTACTTCCAGCCGTCTAAACTGTGTGTCAAATCTGTAGCCATTTAGGGAGTTCAAGTTAAATTTGCTCCCTGGAAGAATCACTTAATTTGCAGAATGTATTCTGATATTTCCCATTATGAAAGATGTAAAGATCTATCAATTCATAACTTAAATGTTTTATAATAGCATGTAAGGTCAAACATTTTTAAAGGTTTCTGTTGATTTTTTGCAAGTGGCACAAACTAGTGTATGGGCATAAATCTAGAGAGCTTAGTAGATATGTGTTGAGTGCCCTAAGAGCATTCGTGTAATATTGCTGTTGCTGAAGAAATCTGCCTTACATGTTTTAGCCAGGAATGCTTCCTCAAGGTCACTGAGGATTTTTTTAGAGGGAGTAGAATCTTTCTATGAGATAGAAAGTTTCACTTGTTTTTATATACCAGATTCCATTGAAGTCCTTGAAGTAATGCTTCACATTTAGTGATGTGACTGTGAAATAACGAAACTTTGTGTTTGTGAACCATGTATCATGGAACACCTTGTCTCTGAATTCCTTTACTACAACCTGTGATGACTGTCAGCTATTACAGATGACATCTTTCAGTTCTTGAATTATTTTAATATGTGAATTTCTTTTCGGCCGTGTAAGTGATTAAAGGACAAAAACAAACATAAAATATTAGTCTTGAAAAAGGACTGGGAGAAGTTGTTTCTTGTCTGGTAACAGTCGCCCATATGCCTCACATGTAAAATATCCAGACAGACACTTTGTATGTCTACAGACTCTTTTGTGTGAAAGAAGACTTGGTCCTTGTCCTTGAACAGGAATTTGAAATATTGAGTATTTATAGGAGGCATTTTAGGATTTTGATAGCTAAGTCTGAATTTGTATTGTATTTTTGCCTTCATGTCAGATCTGTGACAGATGATAGTGTTACTTTCTTTTAATTCACAAGTGCATAAATGAGAATTTTAGCTTTATGGTGGTTATACGGTTTAAATTTATTAATTTATGCTGTAATTAAACATGGAATTCTATATTCATAAATCCTAGAATATGTGAATTCATATTGCCTGAGATCTATGAAACCTAATACATTCAACTTTCATGTGTAGTTATTTAATCAGAATTCCATTATGGTTTTGAATATGATTTTTACAAGCTTGTCAAAGTATGTGACAGATTTAATTCTTCCTCAGGGAAGAAATGTAAAGTATACCTGTGTACATTCAGGAAAAAGTTGAATGAAATACAAGAAAACTTAGTGAAACCAAAATTACTTACAGTAGGCAGATTTCTCTTAAATTCCTTTCAGTGTTTTAATTAATAAAATATTCTTAGCTGGGCTCCGTGGCTCAGCCTGTAATCCCGCGCCTTTGGGAGGCTGAGGTGAGTGGATTGTCTGAG